TTTGATTGCATGTTTGTACACGTTGCTGGCACTTGGCTAGTCCTTGCTGATGAAGTAGACTTGGGAGAAAAGTGCTTGTTGGCACTTGGGGTGCAGCACCTGATTGACGGCGTCCACCACACTGGACACTGGACGCCTCAAGCTGTCCCGCACAATGTCCAAAACGAGATTGTGCAACAGTCCGGTCACCGTGCTGGTCATGGCGTTCGATATCCAGTCAGCCAGTTTTTTTCCCGTTAGCCAAACGCGGATTTTCCTGGAAAACGCCCCAAAGTGCCAACCGAGGGAATTAAGAAGAGCAAATTGCGTCCACTCACCCTTTGTTTTTGTAGTTGATGTGGTCGACGAAAGTCAGCCCTTTGGCAAAGTCGAAGCCCAACTTCACGTGCATGTTGATTTGATCGACGCTTCCATGCAATTGGCCGGTTAACTTCTGAACCACCACTTCCATGAAATAGTCGAAGACAAACTGAAAGTATGTTAATAATAGTCAGTTTTACAGAAGGTGTCCCAGCATAATCCCAAGATAAAAATTCTCAAAAATTGCCTGATGATGACTCGAAATCGAAACTTTTTTCGCATACTGAACGTACTTTGCTCTATAAAACCTACTCAGGACTGAGTTTGTGGCTTGACTGGTTTCTGAGGAAATAAATGCCAAACTGAGCCTACCTACATAATCAAGCACAAAATTCTATCGCATATTTGAAAAAACCTTGAAAATAGCCTGATGGTGGCCCAGAGTCGAAACTTTCCTCTTTTATTTAAAGGACTATGCCCCACAAAATCCATATAAAAGTTGGCTCTTAACTAGAGTAGTGTTTGAGTAAGTACCTGGTAAACTTTGGCCTGCATAAACAAGCGCAAAATACAGGCAAACTCTAAAAAAATCTTGAAAATTTCCTAAGGATCACTGAAAATGGAAAAGTTTTCCACTCACAAAATATACCCTGCTCTTAAAAACTTATTAACCAATGATTGCTCAACTTGTCTAGATTTTAAGAAAAGACATACCAAACTTACGACTCCTAAAGCCACTTGAAAAATCAAAATCTCCTCAAAAATGTCGTTGCCGTTACTCAAAATCGGAACTTTTTACGGAAATAGAACCAGTTTTGGCCTGCGAAATGCACTTGAAAAATGCAGCTTTATTAGTGTTTGAAAAATTAACTGTTAAACTTCTGCAAAAAAAATCACAAAATTCTATCGCAAGTTTGAAATTTTTGAAAATAGTCTGATGATGACTCAAAATCGAGACGTTCTTCACTTATCTAAGGGACTTTGTCCTACGTATGGCATGCAAACTTGAGTTTCTCGCTTTTTAAATTACAGAGAAAATAAATCGTAAACTGCAGTCTCAAAAAACGACCACGAATACCAGACAAGATTTTGAAATATTCTTGATGACTTCAGGGCGGCTGAAAATCGAAACTTTCTACACTTATATAAAGGAATTTTGCCCTACAAAGGCATTCAAAATTGCCTTTCTGGCTTTACAAGCTACATAGAAAATCAGTTTAAACTCCGGCCTGCAAAAACCACCACAAAAACCAGACGTTATTTTGAAAATTTCCGCTTATAAAACATCCTTTTCCCTACAAACGAGATTCAGAAGTAACTCTCTAAATCTGCAGGTTCTTGAGCAAAAAAATGTTGAACTACGACCTGCTGAAACTTTCGCAAAAACCACATAGGAATTTCAAAAATCCTGGAAATTTAACTAATGATGTCTGAAAATCGTAATTTTTGATGCTTGGAGAAGACTTCTCTAAAAAATGCGTACATCAGCAACTCTGTGTCTTCAGTAGTGTATGAGCATTTAAATAGCAAACTTCGGCCTGCAAAGGCAACCTTCTAAATCAAACGCGATATCGCAAAATTTTCAAAAATTGCCTGATGATGACTGAAAACCGAAACTTTCCGCGCTTATACATGGAACGAAAATTGTAGCTTCATTAGTGTTTGAAAAATTAACTGTTAAACTCCTGCAAAAAAATCACAAAATTCTATCGCGAAGTTGAAAATTCTTGAAAATAGTCTGATGATGAGCATTCAAAATTGAGTTTGTCGCTTTTTGAGTTACAGAGAAAATAAATCGTAAACTGCGGTCTTCAAAAACGACCACGAAAACCAGACAATATTTTGAAATATTCTTGATGACTTCAGGACGGCTGAAAATCGAAACTTTCTACACGTATATAAAGGAATTTTGCCCTACAAAGGCATCCAAAATTGGCTTTCTGGCTTTACAAGCTACATAGAAAATCAGTTTAAACTCCGGAATGCAAAAACCACAAAAATCAGACGTTATTTTGAAAATTTTTAAGAAATTGCCTGACGGTGACTGTAATAAACTGTATAACTTATAAAACATTATTTTCCCTACAAACGAGATTCAGAAGTAACTCTCTAAATCTGCAAGTTCTTGAGCAAAAAAATGTTGAACTACGACCTGCTGAAACTTTCGCAAAAACCACATAGGAATTTCAAAAATCCTGGAAATTTAACTAATGATGTCTGAAAATCGTAATTTTTGATGCTTGGAGAAGAGACTTTTCTCTAAAAAATGAGTACATCGGCAACTGCGTGTGGCTTTAGTAGTTTCTGAGTATTTAAACAGCAAACTTCGGCCTGCAAAGGCAGCCTTGTAACTCAAACGCGATATCGCAAAATTTTCAAAAATTGCCTGATGATGACAGAAAATCGAAACTTTGCCCCTTTACATTGGCGACTATGCTCTAAACAATTTATCCCAAATTGGCTTTTTTGTGTCGCAAGATACAGAGAAAATAAATGCTAAACCGCTGCCTGCAAAAACCAGCACAAAACTCAGACGCGATTTTGATAAATTCTTGGAAATTGCTTGATGATGACTGAAAATCGAAACGTTTTCCACTTTTAGAGCAGATTTTGCCCTACAAATGTGATTTAACAGTGATTTTCGGCACTTGAGCAAAAAAATGTCGAACTACGACCTGCTTAACATCGGCGGAACCCTCCTGAAACTTATAAAAATTCTGGAAAATTATTTAAAGGTGACTAAAAATTGTAACTTCAGACAGTTATAAAAAGGACTTTTCTCTATAAAATGTACGGGTCAGCAACTCTCTTCTTTCATTAGTTTCTGAATAAATAACTGCCAAACACCGGCCTGTAAAAACAACCTCGTAAATCAAATTCAATTTTGAAAATTTGTCAAAAAATGCCTGATGATGACTGAAAACCGAAACTTTCCGCGCTTATACATGGAACTTTGCGCCACAAAAGGCGTTTAAAACTCATCTTCTTCAGGAGCAAGTTAGACAAGAAATGAATGCTAAAATTAGGCCTGAAAAACCGTCTCGAAAACCACACAAGATTTTGAAAAATTTTCTAAAATTTTGAGAAAAGGATTCAAAATCGGAACGTTTTCCATTTACAGAGCAGACTTTTCGCCAGAAATTAGACCCAAAAGAGAATCTCTAAATTAGCAAATTAGAACCTTCTTAAATATCCACGAAACCTACATGTGACTTTGAAAAATTGTTGAAAATTAACTGATGATAACTGAAAGTTTAAACTTTCAGAACTTCAAACCCCACTGGCTTGCTTCAGTAGTGCCGGCATAAATAAATGTCGAACTGCGGGCTGCAAAGACACCCTGTAAACCATAAGCAATTTTGTAAAATTGTCAAAAATTTCTCGGATCAAAAAGAGGGAAAGTCAAAACCGTTTATATTTATATAATAATAAGGACGTTGTCCTGAAATTATTTGAAATTTTCTGTCTCACTTTGCAAGTTGCAGCCAAAATTAATATTAAACCCCCAATGAAAAAACCAGCAGACGATATTGAAAAAAATCCTGACAATTGCCTGATGATGACTGAAAATCGAAACCTTCCTCACTTATAGAGCATACTTTGCCCTACTCAAAGCATAGGAAAAAAGCTCTCTAGTTCTGCTCCTTAATGAGGAAAAAAGTGTCAAACTCAGGCCTGCATAAATAGCAACAGTCTTGATTCCACGTGTCCCTTTCCATGCAAAACACATGAAAACCAACCTTAATGTCCTGGAAGCCTAAAATCAGGTCAACTCGAAGCTGTTTGGACTGGCTGTCGTAGACCAGAACTGCGTTTCCATGTCTTTTGATGGTCGACATGCCCTTCAGCTGGCCCTCAGTGATGTTCGCTTGCCCAATTGTGATCTACAGTTTTCATTATTTCCGAATTTAATTGAGCCACCCTGTACATGCACTTACATCAAGATCCTGGCTGGGCATCGGTGTTGGGTCCAGATTGTTGTTGGTGATCAGGCACTGAACGTTTTCCAGCAGTTTATCCACATAGTCGTTGACGATGATTTCAAAGTCTTCCAAATTGACGTTCTTCAGCGCTCTGGAAGAACCTGAGGATTGTTACCTGGAAGCCTTTTTGGCGGTTGCACAACTTACGAGAGATCGTTCAATTTCGTTTCGCTTACTACCAAAGTCTTCGGGGCGGTTTCGCCCTTGCTGGCTGGATTTCCCGATACAAACGAAATCGGGATCAGTTCTTTCAGCGCCACTGGCTGTTTCTTCGCTGGTTCCTCACAGGAGGCCAAACAAACCAACAGCAAAAGTACTCGCATTGTTAAAGCTCCACTCATCTGGGGTTCAAGAAGTGAAATGAATAGTCAATCAGTCGACTGGTTTAGTGGAATTCTCATGCTGCAGAGTTTTTTCTGGAAATTCTCGTTACCCAATCAAATTACTTTCGGTTTCGTCACGGGTTTTATGTGAAGTCAAACCAGTGGTTTTTAGGCGCGTTCCGCCTTTTGCCGAAACGGCGATCGAGCCAAAGAGAGAGCAAAATTAATTAGAATTTTTGGCTCTTAGTTGAGCTGAAAATCGCAGTCGGCAAAGAGTTATAGGCGAAAGCCCCCTATGCAGCCAATCTAACTGGCTTCCATCCGATGTGCGAAAACTCGCGAAGGAATGCCATTGGATTGCATAAATGTGATTGGAATTGTTCTAGGGATTAGGATTTAGATATACCGGGTGTTGCAACTTTCGATCTGGGCCTATAAGGCTTCCAACTGAACCCCGCTTAACTTGCTGGCAGTGCGCCACTGACTGTTTTCTGGGGTAGCACTGGATTCCTGGTTAAATTTAGAAACTTTTTTGTATCTAGAAGTTTTTCCATAAATCCCCCAGGTTTGGCGTAAAACACCATCAAACTGCTATGCCCTGAAAACGACTTTTAGCCACCCATTGCCTTGAAATATCAACGCCCTGTATAGTGGTTGGAAAGTTTTGGAAGATGTTTTCTAGGTATGTTGTTCCGATTTTCCGGTATATATGTGGCAGTAGTTTGCTCGTTTCCCTGTAGTATTTGGAGAGTTCCGGTGCAATTTTCCATAAAAACGCTGCTAGAATTCAACACTCAGTATCACACTAACCAATGAAAACCGGGGATGTTTTATCACTTCAGCTGCATGTTCTCAGTGTTGATGATAGCATGCAGGGTGGCCCCAAATTGCGCATTTTTAATAGAGGAGCAAATGTCTTCTGCAACATTGTGATGTGATGTTGCAAAGATTCATGCGAATCTTTGGCCATATTTGCACAATTCGCCAGAAAATTGCCGCTTTTTGCCGACATTTAAGGGCCCAGCAATTTACACTGTATTGTAAGAGCGAAACGTTTTTCCTTGTGCCCCAACCAGTGTTGTGCCCAACATGCTAAAAATCCGCATTTTTTGGACCAAAAGCGTTTTCTGGCGTCCCCAAACAGTGTCGTGCCTGAAGGGCTCGGCACAACTTTGCAATCAACACGTTTTTATATTTCACAGTTTGAGGCCAAAGTTGTGCCGAGTCTTCCGGGCACGACACTGTTAAGGGCGCAAAAATCTGCACTATTTTTGGGCTGAAAAGTGTGTTGTTGGGTCTCAACCAGTGTCGTGCCCGAAAGGCTCGGCACAACTTTGCACCCAACACTTCTCTTCTAATTCAAAGTTTAAAGACAAAGTTGTACCGATCGCCCTAAGCGTTCAACGTTATAGAAGGACAAAGTCGCGTACTGTTTTGTTCTGAGCAGGCATGGGAAACACTGTGTTGAGTTGCGCTTTTGAGTTGGTGCCGCTCTTTGAGTTAATGAGTTACAACTCATTTATTAAAGCGAATTAAAGCTTTATGAGACCCGAAACTGGCATTTTAACATGCAAAAAAATACACTTTTTTTTAAGTAAAACCACGGATTTTAATGGCAACGAATGCGAGCGTGCGAAGCAAACAGAAGCGAACAGAAACGATCACAAAACCCATTAGAACGCCACTGCACTGCAGTGCATAG